ATAAGCAGAATGGCAGAATACTAAAAGTAATTAAACTTTTCTGTGTTACCGCTTAGTTGAAAACAATAATATATTTGGATAAACCTACTAAAAAAATGTATCTCCTGTTTTTTGGTCTAACTTAATATAATTTTGAAACATTTATTGTGCTATAGATTCAAATGTTTTGTATCACAAGTTTATGAAATTAGTTTGATACCAACAAAAGATCTAGAAGAACAAAAATATTATTAAATCCTGCCATCCTACAGATTGAATTTTAATTAGCTATTTTCTTAAGTTGTTTACACATAGGCCACTACCGGTACTAGGTTAAATGTTCCTGTCTTTCTAAATAATAATTATTAGGCTACTTCGCAAATTTTTTTTCACTTTCAATACAATAAATTCATCTATCTATTAGGCCCCGTTTATGCACCAAGTGCGGGAGCGGTGCGATAGCGGGCCCGCTCCCTCTGTAAATGAGTCTGTTTATGCACGAAGAGCGATAGCGGTAGCGGTTGGTTAAAGGAGAATGGAAGGGGGACACAGTCTTGCCAACTCAAACTCTGCCAAATAATTAACACAACTATTTGTCCTAAGTGCACGTGCGCATGGATCAAGTTGGCAACCCTGGCTTCAGCCGCTCCCGCTCCCGCAGTGCATAAACAGACCCATTTGACTCAATGTAGTTGAAAACCGCTCTATTCCAAGCAACCGCTGCGATTCCTAACTACACAGCGGGCGAATTAGAAATCGCAGCGGGAGGTCAACCGCTATCGCTATCGCTCTTGGTGCATAAACAGCCCCATTTAACTCAATGGTGTTAGAAATCGCTCCCACTGTCGCTACCGCTACCGCACTTGGTGCATAAACGGGGCCTTATAGAAATTATAAAATCATAAGTAGTCAGGACCAGTGCAACCATGTGATTAGGTTATTTATGCCGATTATGCTTTATGCTCAGACCTGGATATTTATGGCGATTATACACAGAAGTAAAATGATAGTAGTGACCATATGAAATTTTGTTTAACACATTTTATCATCATTTTACTATCCTTAAAGGGTAATAATTGCAAAAAAAACATCTCAATCTTCTCTTACTTTAATAAAATTATAAATACCCAGTTTTTCGGTATTTACCCGGACCTGGGGTAAATACCCGGGTAAAAATCCAATTTATATTTACCTACCCACTGGGTATTTACCCGGCCCACATCACTACCCATACCCTTATCTAATCGTCATAAACACTTCCCACACTCCGGACAGCTCGCCTTGACTACTTCCTCCACCACTTCCGACGTCACGGACCTGTTTCCCTCCCTTCCCATAGCATTTTAGGATTGCAGATAGCCTAATCTAACATAACATAAGACTAATGTTAATAAAATGTGATTTTCAGTTTCATTTTTCTACGTAATTAGATTTTTGTTGGCAGTTCTAACTGCAGTAAACTCGTTTTAAGGCCAGAAATAAACTATTTACAACATTTGAAGAAAATCGTCGGAGCCGTTTTCGAGATCTTTTTTGCAAGCAAGCAAGCATACATACAAGCAAACATTGCTCGTATTAGAGTATAGGATAATATGAACAATGAGGGCCCCCACTTCCATTAATGGTGGCCCTAGTTTTGAGGTTATTTGCAAAACATAGCTGAAAATACATGTTTTATCAGTGTTTTTGAAGATTAGGGTAAATATCAAATTTCCAATAGGCCTACTTCTTTTGAGGGGAGGAAGATGGGAAGACAAATTTCTTACCATTAAAATAAGATTTATATTAATAAATAAACAATACAATATTCGATACGATATTGGCTTTAGGTGTATCGATACACTCCCACGTATCGATACAAAATATCGATATTTTGCGGTCCTTGTATCGATATCTGTATCGATACGCACATCACTAGTGTAAACATTTATATAATTACTACTGAAGTTTAATTGTTTAAAATTTGTCTACATCATGATTTTACTTTTTTAAATCAGTTTATTTCAACAAAAATGAAATGTTAATTCTTTGTGAGTCCTTATAGCCTTAATGTTTACTATTTTGTGTGGTTGTATGTTAACTTAGGCTATTATTTTAATTAGGCTACCTCAGCCCCATTTTTATAGTAGGTAGCAACACAATTAACAAGTAAAGTAGGCACGTTATTTGACTGATTAGTTTGGGGTTGGTATGTAAAAAAATATGACAGTGATTTTTTGAGGCAAGATAACAAAATACAAAAATGTTGCTAAGATAAATGAGTAATAATCCATAACCTAACTTAAGTTAACCTAACTTTTATTTTATTCAAAATGTAGCCTATGGGGGACAGTTAACTACCATGAATGAAACGTTTTTAGGGATGTTTATAAGTATAGCATAGGCCCTATGCTTAAGTGTAAGAGTATTAGAAAGCGGCAGGAAAACCATCTAACTTAGATGGTTCAGCGCTACTGAATCAGCGGTCGCTATTGGCATTGAAATATCTCAGTAAGACGAATCACAAAAGAGCAGTGGTGATTGTTCTGCGTTACCCCGAAAGTGGACGTAGTTTACTGAAACACCCAAACGTAGCAGCACTGCCTGGATCAATAAGTTAACCAGTCTTTGTAATATGGCTCGAATAGAGAAAATCCCCGAAAACGGGACAAAAGCATTGCCAGACGGGATTTTACGGGAATGTTTAGTACCAACATACACCAAAACAAAGCTTGTATTAACTTATTAGCTACAACCTGGCAACAATCACATTGTCGCCAGCCGAGTGCTGGCTCAGACAGATGCAATATTTGGCAAGCAAGGGGTACAGTTTCTTAATTGGGCTACAGTATGCTAATATTGATTGAAACTATCGAATTGAAAAACTGATTAATAATCGATATTTTTAAATAGGTATATCTACCTACGTAATTGATCCATTAAGAAACTGTACCCTTCGCTTGCCAAATATTGCATCTGTCTGAGCCAGCACTCGGCTGGCGACAATGTGATTGTTGCCAGGCTGTAGCTAATAATACAAGCTTTGTTTTGGTGTATGTTGGTACTAAACATTCCCGTAAAATCCCGTCTGGCAATGCTTTTGTCCCGTTTTTGGGGATTTTCTCTATTCGAGCCATATTACAAAGACTGGTTAACTTATTGATCCAGGCAGTGCTGCTACGTTTGGGTGTTTCAGTAAACTACGTCCACTTTCGGGGTAACGCAGAACAATCACCACTGCTCTTTTGTGATTCGTCTTACTGAGATATTTCAATGCCAATAGCGACCGCTGATTCAGTAGCGCTGAACCATCTAAGTTAGATGGTTTTCCTGCCGCTTTCTAATACTCTTACACTTAAGCATAGGGCCTATGCTATACTTATAAACATCCCTAAAAACGTTTCATTCATGATAGTTAACTGTCCCCCATACATTTTGAATAAAAGTTAGGTTAACTTAAGTTAGGTTATGGATTATTAACCCCACTATCAAGAGCATTGCAAACCATTTTTTATAAAAAACAAAATTCTCACATTAATCCCACTAAAAGATCAGAAACACATAATTACAACACCAGGAAAAAAAACGATTTGAATCTACCGCAACACAGACTAGAAAAAACAGCAAAAACCCCAACATATAGAGGGATGAAACTTTACAATTTACTACCACATCGGCTAAAAGCTATTACAAACCCGAAAAAATTTGCTAACCAACTGAAAAACTATCTCCTCGAACGACCCTACTACAGTTTGAATGAATTCCTGGATGACCATACTTTTAAGAGAAGACAATAAAAAACCAAGATAAACTAAGAAGATAAAGAAAAAGATGACGCCTCCCCCAATCTTGATGACTGCGGAGGAGAAGAACAGCAGTAAGCAGTAAGTCTATTGTAAAATAAAGCTATCATAACCTAACCTAACAGGGCTATAAAAATGAATTATAAGATTACTTCGTCACAAAAACCTTTTGTTCTGGTGGCATGGTATTTTGCCCGGCGATTTTTGTAGAAGGCAGCCTGGAAGTGTCGAGCAACAAGTCTAAATTATTTTGTGACTCTGCCTATAATTTTGAAACAATTAAGATACTTTTTGCCAAAGTATTATTAATACACTTAAAGCTGTTTGAATTCTTAAGCCCTCTAAACATTAACGCCACCTAAGTTTAATATACTTATTGTACAGTTACTTAAAACAGTACTGTGTTGGAGTAGAGTACCTAATTCACCAAGTATATTGTTGAACTGTTGAAAACGTTGTCTATAGCAATACTAGGCACATGTTGGCTGACAATACAAATTCAGAATTTTGTAAATTGAAAAACTTCCAATTCAACCATTAGTTAGATATGTATTGTTAAATGACGTTTCCTATTAACTTAAACATTTAATTTTGATTCTCAATCAGCAAGTTTGTTTTTTGTACCTCAAGTTTACCAACTTAAATACTTTATACTCGTTTTATGAGGTAAAGGGAAAATTGTCAGATAAATTGGTAGGGGGAGGGTAGGTTTAAATAGACGACAACATTAATTGGGGGGACTACTCCTTTGGCTTGGGGGGGGGGGGATTGCGCCTCTGGGTTTAGGGGGGATGGGCACCTCTGATTGTAGGGTGAGTTAGGGGACCTAGCCTGGGGTATGAAACATGCTCGAAAAGTTAGGTGTTCCTTAAAATAAGTAAGGCCTAGGACTATTGCTGTGTTGTATGCTGATTGCTAAATTCATTAGTGAATTATCAATGGCGGCATGTCATCATTACTTTGACAAACATTTATAAGCCTGCCAAAACAAGCAGTTTATCAGGTCGAAACAGGCCTCTGGGGTTTGTAAGAACAAGTTCACTAAGTTATTCGACTGAGATTACCTTTAAAAATTTCAATCAATAAACCCATTTAGCCATCATAATCTGTGAGACTAAGCTGAAAAGTAATTTAAGCCTACTACCTATTAGTACGCCTACCAAATTTTACTTGGTCTACAAGCCCACGCTCCGTTACCCAGAAATGGGACTATGCTAGGGCCTAAGTTATTACACTAACCTTTCTTCGCTCCTCTGCCACTTGGTGCCATTATTGGTAAGATAAATTGAGGATTTAAAACTGAGACTTGCGACTTGAGTTAATAAGTTCAAAGAACTAGTGTTGAGAAAATTTATGGCGACGCTGGGCTCGGCTAGCTCAGCTCAAATTTTCACATCACATCACAAGTAGAAGGAGCGAAGGAGGGAAAATATAAAAAAGAGCCAATAGGAATCACTCAAAGTTAACAGAATAATAACTTTGGCGGGAACCACAGTCTTTAGAATGGAGTGATGAATATATGTTTTTAATATTCATTGAATATGTCTTTTCACACATGGGTAGATCCTCTCACAACTTTCACCATGGTAGAAGCTTATACCATGAACTTTCACCATACTTAAATACCCCCACCACAGCAAACCTGCAGACTAAACGAATTTCAATTTGCCTGGCTGGATTTCTACTAAAATATTCCCTAAAAATGTCAGATTTATTTTCTATTTAAATAACATAAATTTTAATACTTTTTAATATTTTTTCATTGAAATGGCGACCATACAAAGTAGATATTTGGTATTTTAAGCCAAGTATGAATGGAGATGAGTGTAGGATGAGTGGCACTATTTTGTAATCTTGTAAAGCTGCGCGCGCACTACGGCGGCACGGCACGGACGGGCGGGCGGCACGGCAATTTTTAAAAGTTAATAACATTTAATGTCATATGAGTGCGCCCACTACGGGGTTACGGCCGGATACGGACGTTTGGCAGCTTCCGCCGTTTGTTAAAAAGTCCGGGAGACAGAACTCCAGGACATTTCCGAGCTGCCGTGACGCCCGTACCGCCCGTACCGACCGGGAGCACTGCACACCGACCGGGCGGGCGGCACGGGACATCCGCCATTCTCAACTGATCTCTGTCAAAGTAGCAGTGTTTCTCGTTGAGAATACCCCTAAACTGTACAACGTGCGACATCCGGAATATTTTAATAACGTCCGGCGTGACAAAATATGGGCAGAAATATGATATATTATGAAACAATCAGGTAAATTTTACACATAATCCTTCTACAAGATCAGGAAACAATGTGTGGAACTCTCCAAAACGTAGTCTTTTCCTGTTTATGTGGTGTATCTAAAATCTTTGCTTGCACCTTCTTGTCACCTCTTCCTCTGCTAAAATTAAACCTACTATCACCACTTTATCTACATCCATCTTTACTCACAATTTTTAGCTCGCAGACTGTCAACTGTCTTAAATTGCGGATGTCCCGTCCCGTCCGTCCGTGCCGTGCCGCCATAGTGCGTGCACCCCCTCTTAAAAATGCCGTCCGTGCCGTACCGCCCGCCCGTGCCTTGTGTTTCTAGTGGGGCCTTGGTGTGAAAGGTGACCGTGTGGTTGTGTTCTGTGTTCTTCTGTGTTGTTGTGATTTGTATTTTTTCTTTTTTTGTGTGGTGGTCGGGGATAGTGCTGGGTTCACAACAGACCAACCGTATGATTCGGTTGTGTGTCGAAGAATATCGAACATGTTGTAAGTCGTATCTGTAATCGCATTGCATCGCATCGCACTCGCACAGGCTAACATTAGGATTGGATTGGAGTGCTGTCGTCGTGTCGTCTGCCGCTCAATTGCAAATGTGAAATAATTGATTGAGGTTACTCAGGTTATGTTTTTATCTATGTTGAGGAATTTCAATAAACTTAGTTTATTTAGTTATTCCCAATTTTAAGTGAGTTTGAAAACGCTTTGCCCTATTAGAGTCAAACTATTAATAGCTTAACTGAATCAGCAAAATAAAAATATCAAATCAATTGCGCAAACTATGATGTCTTTTAGAAAACCAATTTAGGCCTTTTACTTATGGTTTCTGAAGTTCAAATATAAAAAACCAAATATTATTACTCCAGAATTATTATTCTAGGTTCCAATTATTGTTTGGGGAGGAGGGGGATTTATTTACATACAATTCCCCCATTGATAATTATATTAGGATGTAGCCTATTTAAGTTAATACAAATAAAATTAAAAGTATGCTGGTCATTTAAAAGAATGAAACTGACACAATAAGTTAAGATAGGTAAGTCATATAGTATGTTGGAAACAGAGCATATTTTAAGGGATTTCCACTGGGCAACAGAGGCGCCGGACTTACCGGGTGTTTATGTGATACCTGGGGTCGGAGGGTTCCCCCGGAAATTTTTGCTTAGCTTAAATTAAAGTGAAAAGAACACATATTTCTACGCATCTTCTAATGAATTTTTCGATTATACTTATTCGCTTGTAAATAGTCCATATAATCTCACTTAATTATGTACCGGAATCCTAGAATGTCATAACAGGCCAAGGCTCCCTTCACAACCTCTTGGGCCAAAATCATAGCTCAATAGCCTACTCTAAAATATTTACATATTTTTTTTTTTATTCGTATACATTTCAAATGTGAATTATTAAAAAAAATATGCTGGCACCACCCATAGTCACTGGCCGACAAAATCTCAGCACTGTGTCACCCATTTAACATGTTATTTTATATGCCCTGTGTTGGAATGTAAAATAAAATAAGGCCCTAAATAAAAGCTTGCTTCAGCCTGAAACTTAAGTGTGTTGGTTAGGTAAAATTTTAAAATTTAACAAATTTTACCTTCAAATTAACTCATAGAACACATCTTTTTAACAGGCCCTCTGGTGAGTGGTGAAAAAACAGTAACACTTTACTCTTTGCATGCATCTTTACTAATCAAATTCATTCAATACTTACCTACTAGAAATAATTATTTTAATAAGTCTGGTTAAGTTAGTTATTTTTTTCTGTATACAAATGTTACAGCTTTATTTGTTTTAATCTACTTATGGATTGTAGGCTACTGTAACTTAAAATTGACTAAAATACAGCCACAATTTTAACTAGATATGTTGGCATTCATTCTTATAATCCCACCAAGATGCCTTAACCTATTAAGGATAACTTAGACTATCTGGGTGAGGTTTTAATTACCTTAATTACCACTGTGTTGCCGATGACAGATGATTTGGATAGGGGTCCTCCAAACAATTGACCTTTAATGAACGACAAGATATCTTATTGTAATTATGTTTATCTTAATTATGTGAGTGTGAGTCAATTAAGCAAATTTGGTTAGATATTGTATTGAATTTGGATGCAAAGAAACGTAGCCTACAATAAAGGAAATGGGATCCACTTTTACAAGTAAGTTTTAAATAATTACTTACTGTATCAAGAAATGTTGTCGCTAACTTAAGCCGGGTCTTTCCTAGGCGCGGAAGTGGAGAGCGGAGAGAGGAACGCGGAGAGCGGACTCCACTTGTCTTAGGTAATTTAATGTTACTGTTTTCCTAGAAACAGAGCGGAACACCATGTTAATCTCTTTTCCGCTCTCCGCGTTCCTCTCTCCGCTCTCCGCTTCCGCGCCTAGGAAAACCCAGCTTTATGCCTAGACTGGTTAGGGCTTCAGATAACTTCTTACTGTTTAAAATCAGAAGTGCATTTTAATTTGAACTATTAATTAACTGAATAAAATAAATTCTTGTATTTTTATTTTGGTAATCATACCTACTAGCATGCTACTACAGTACTGTAAGCGCACGACTTGTTTGCGAGCCGGGTGCGCGGGGGGAGAGCGGTACCAATCTCCCACCACGCAGCCAAAGTTTCTGTAGCATTGGTCGGACTACGCTTTCTAAAAACATTCGACTAGCGCTGTTCGCGTTGTTTTCCTTTTTTGCGTACATTTTTTAAAAATTTAAATTTGAATTTGACAAATACTAAGGGTTCTATATTATTGTTTTGTTACTGTAGTAGAGTATTTTATTTTGATATAACTATTTTTTTACTTATTTAAATGTACACCAAACGGTAAAATCATATTAGGCCTATATTCCAATTTAATCGTAAAGTTTGACTTTTTAGGTGTAAATTTTTAACGTTTATAGGTGGTATCTTCAGATATAGATATAGATGTATGTAAAAACACATACAGATATATCTATAAACAGAAAACCACAAGGCTTAGTACATAAAATTATGGAAACTTTTGCTTATTTTCATATTATGTACAATAAATAACACCTTAAAATATCGGACAGGTTTTCCGAACACCCTTTAAAACGGTTAATGACTTGCAGTTATTTATTTTATATCCCTAAGTTGATAAAACGAAAGTCGGTCTCTTAATGTCGTACGTAAAGTATTTTATGACATTTTATGATTTTATTATCCTATTTTATGACCAGAAGAGTATTGTATTCTATCGTGTTCTATCAACTGTCAGTTTATTGGACTGTGCTGTTTAGATGAGTAGTGCGGTTGAGTAATTATTGAGTGATTGTTAAGCCGTGGGTTAAAAAAGTGTCAGGCTAGGCTAACATAGATTAATATTATGGCAACCACCCGTAAAAAGGGCAAACCATTCACAGAGAAGCGATGGAAATATTATAAGATCAACAGGTGCCATGTGTTGGTGTTACGCATCCGCTGGGAGTAGAAGCAGTATAGACAACATTTTTAGGGCGACTAGTAGCAGATTGGCCAAGAGCCGGGCAGTGGTGGGGGCCCCTCCTGGCTAAGGAGGCGGTGGAGGGGCCACGCGCAAACAAGTCGTGCGCTTAGAGTAGCCTATACTCGCACCTATACTGACAAGTAGTAGCGTCAGCTCTATTTATCAATCATAGGCCCTTCATAGCTATTATGCTATTATTTACATTTCCAGGTATAGGTGTTGAACTACAATGTATGTGGATTTATGGAAACTAGGCCTAAAGGTTACTGTGAATTAAGTTTAACTATTTTTTAACAATTTCAGATTTCTATTAACTCGCCCAAAGCTGTTGAAATCCTGGGAAAAGGCTGTCAAAAGAAAAAAATCTGAAAGAAACTGTTTAGTATTGATTCTTTGCAGTAAACATTTATCTGATGATGAAGTTTAAGTTAGATAAGACTTGGAGCACTTGTCAAGCTCCTTAAAGATGACGCTGAACTCACCGATTATGTAGGTACAGCAGTTCAGAAAAAAAAAAACACCGCCGTGGACAACTTTTCTATGGATAGCCTGATATTGTTGAGGTAAGATAAGTTATGCTTTTACATCTTAATTATATATTAAGTTAAGGTTTTATCATAATAACATAATGATCATAATAAACCTAACCTAACTCTGCAAAGCGCTGTACAGTGACATTTCAGGGGGTTACAGAAAAACTAAGGCCTAGGTTGTTTGACAGTGACTGACTGACCATTTGAAATGTAATCGTTTGCCAGTGGTCGTGCCCCCGTCTGGTATTACTCCACCAGAGAAGCAGTCCATCTTTAAAATACCGGTACAGTACCTTAAAATGAAAGTCTTCTGTGCCTTAGAAAAATGTTAAGGTTGTTTTCATGTATTATAAGATCGTAGGAATAGGCCTACTTAGTTTTAGGAAAAAATAAGCTGGCATAGCAAAATTTCACAGTCACAGAAATCGGTGTTTATCAGCTAACTTATAACTTATGATAATATTTTGGCCTTAAAACTCAAGCAGACATATAACCCTATCAGAACTACAATACTGTACTACCTACTATAATATTCAGAAATAATTAGGCTGTTGTCCTATTAAAGAATACAATTTAGCCTACAGTGTCAACATTTTCAGGTGCTAAGTGTCTTTATCGTTATTCATGCAATGTTTTAAAGTCCTCAGATTACCCTAAATTTTTCCTTCCGGATCGATATCTGCCATATGAATCTGGTGACAACCTTACTTAACATAGGCCTAACTGCCACAGTGAGAGTAATAGTGACACTAACTTATTACTCTCACTGTGGCAGTTAATAGTGGCTGTAATTTTAATGAAATCCCTGTAAAAAAAAAAAAAAACAATAAATTGTATTAGCTAATTTTGGTTGCACTTCCATATAAGGCCTGTGGCACAGCTACATGGAAGTATTTAGTGTAAAGTAATTTTGTTATCTAACGGGGTAATTCTGAGCAATTACTTGGTCAACCCCAATTTTTTTCATATTTTACTACGGTCATCAGGAGGTTCTCAGAAAGCAAGAAACATATAATTCAAGGCCCGCAAGGCCATCGTACAGGTTGCCGAGCGATAAGAAGGTTCAAAGTCCAAGCGATAACAGTGGCTTGCGGGAGACGCGCGGAAGGCCAGTTGTGACAGTACCGTTATGGCTATGGCTAGTGGTTCCTCCGACAATCCTTTTCTATGTGACGGGTGTGAAAACACGTTACTTACTTATGTTTTTTTTTAGTCTCAAATACATCTCTAAGGCCAATTGTAACAGTACCGTTACGTTAGGTTAGGTTAGGTTAGGTTAATTAATAACCTAACTTAACCTAACCTAACCTAACCTAACTTAACCTTGCGGGGCTTGAATTATATGTTTCTTGCTTTCTGAGAACCTCCTGATGACCGTAGTAAAATATGAAAAAAATTGGGGTTGACCAAGTGATTGCTCAGAATTACCTCTAACGGAACTTTGAAACCTAACTATACCTGATTTAGTATTCTATTATTTTTACTTTTATTACTTTTACCTGGTGTCAGCGCAAGTGTAGCTTTGATTTTTTAATTTTTACAGCTCATTTCAGTAGAAGCGAATTATTATCTCACACTCACAGTTTTGTCTAGTTTGGTTTAATCTTGATTAAAGTAAGGACCACCTCTTACTTTTGTAATCGAGTAATGTTTAAAAAAAAACTAAGGCCTTATTTGTTTCAGACTCCAATTGAACCCATGGAGATTAAGACTCCAAGACAAAGCACAGGGAAAATCAAACGGAAATCAACCAAATCCACCACAGCAAACACACTCAAATTGATAGTTCAGTTTCTCCAATGAAAAAACTCCAAATGTAATGACCTAAGACTTGGACAAAAGAAGAATCACTTTGTTTTTGTGAAATGTTTAAATACACTGTATTTGGACTAATTAATTTTTTTTATTTACTAAACCTCAACTTCCTCATCAATAAAATTTCTATTGTGCCTATTGGGGTTTCAAAATTAGTTAAGTTACTCTTGCAAAATATATTTTGTTTTATTTCACAGTCATTGTTTTTTAATATTTTAATTCTTGTAATTTTGAACTTTAAGTTATTCAAAATACTTAACTGTCCTTCAGCATTGGAATTGTGCAATGTCAATGTTTCACAATAATTATAATTGCCTAATGAAGATCTCAACTTATAGCGAAGACAGTCAAATGGTAACAGTGGTAAAAAAATAACATTTTTTAGGACTCCAACATGGATTTTTACATAGCCTAACTTGAAAGAATCTAAGTTTCAGAGGTTTACTGTTTTCATGCGTCTTGTTAATAGCCTAAACTTAATATAATATAAGCTATTTTGAAATTTATTTAATTACCCTTAAAATGGTGATTCTAATCTAGTAAGGAATAATTTCTGGTATTGTGTCTTTAAAAGTATGATATAACAAATTCAAGAATTTTATAAATGTAGCCTATTAGTGAGTGAATCAGAATCATAGCCTACAGTAACAGGCCATAAATTGCATTCATGGTTCATGGTTCACCTTAAAAGGCGTTCATGGTCATGCCTTAATAAAAATAATATATTACTTTTATTTGCTTTTACATACAGTTCTGCAGTGCTAACAGATTGTTATAATCAAAATTATTTTAACTGTATTAAAAAAAAAAAAAAACTACATATCCTATTACTTTCAGGTCATTTATGATTAGTTAGAAACGTAAAAGTATGATTTTTAGCCAGGATATATACTCTCTAGTTATAAAACAAAGGAATGCTTGCCATACTAGAAGCTTGATTATAAATTTGTTTAGAATTTTATTTTGGGCCCCAAGAACTGAATATGCAATGAAAACCTACTCACAGTTCAGATGTTCAAATGCAATTTATCATGTAGATATATTACATGTATCTCTGAATTTTCGGCTATGTCAGGTAATTGTAAATAAGTAGTATTAACAGAAATGTTATCACCACAAAACGCATTTATTTAACTTTTTTCAAGTAAGAACTCGAGGGTTGAACATGCGCTAACAGCCCATTTATTAGCATGCAATTTTAAATTTCGCGCCAACTCCGGCCTCACGCAAATGACGGGCGTATGATTCGGTGGTGGGAGAAGGCGCTGATGGGTGGTGTTACGAGAGACAAGGGTTCGTGAAAATGAAACAAGGTATTTTTTCTAGGCAACCATATTTATTTCACTTCACTCTCGCTCGTAACGTAACTTACGATAACAACATCGGTTCGATTCTCTACGATTACGATTTCGACTTTCAGTTGATAACAATCGAAACACAACCGAATCATACGGTTGGTCTGTTGTGAACCCAGCACTATCCGGTGGTCGGTTCGGTGTTCGGTGGTGGTTGGTTGGTAGCTTTCGTAGGTGTTGTTTTAGTTTAGTTTCAGTCAGTTCTCAGTTGTTGTTCGTTCTTATTTTCATCGTTGTTACGTTGTTGGTTGAGGTTTTATTGTTTTGTTTTGTTTGTTGCCTGTGCTAGATGATATCGGATACTGGTCCTGTTTTAATATTATTTATTAATTGTGACGTGTGCTAATTTTTCATTTTACAGTACATTGAAAAACAAATGTTTAATTTGTTAATTTGATATCCTGGTTTCGGTTGGATCTATACCTAGGTTTAGGTTTAACACCTAGAGGCTATAGTAAGCACTTCATCTTCATAGCTGGCTATCCAGTTAGTAGAAGTAGGATCTATCCAATATGGGAAGTGAACCTAAAAGAATGAGGGCTATCATAAAAGATCCTCAACACTTTAAACGGGTTGTGGAAACAGTGCAATTATTCAATGACAGACAGGACTTAATGGACATTTGTTTTGTTTGTGCCCGAGGACAAAGGGTTTATGCCCACAAACTATTGCTTTGTTCAATAAGTACTCAAATGAAAGAAGTGAGTAAAATTGTATTATAAGCCTAGACCTCTATTTTGTTGTTAATAAACACTCTGGTTATATTTTTAGCGCTGCTTTTGAGTTTGCCCAGGGCTCCACTGACCCTTAACGCGGCTCTGGTTGTGGGTACTTCAAATCGTGTGGAATTTCACGACAAATTCAACGGTACAATATTCATTTTGATACGGCCACTAATAACCTCGGCTGCACTTTACTTTAGGTCCTACACTCATTCGAATGAAAAATATCGATCAATATATTGATTAACTTAATCGATTGTTTCATTCGATATATCGTTTGGTTAGCTAGGTAAGGTTAACCTAACCTAACTAACCAAACGGTACAGTATACAGAATGAAACAATCGAGTAATCGATATTTTTGTTCAAATGAGTGTAGGACCTAAAGTAAAGTGCAGCCATAACCTCAAAAAGCCCGCAAAATACTTAGATTGATTGACTTCGTTACAAATTGCCTTTGATCGTTACTTTATTTTAATACTACCGGTACCAGCTGTTGTACCCGTGCTTCGCAACGGAAAGGACACTGAAGCGAAAAAATTTGATCTTGAATTCTGTTGTATAAAATAGTTAAACATTCCCCTTTGGTTTCAGGAACATAACTCAATTGAAACTCTTAGTTTGACAAATATCTTATTTCTTTAAGGCTAGGCTACATAACTTTTTTAAGGCTACCTAGTAACGAATTATATGAGGCGCTGATGCATGTATGGAAATAATGTACCCATACGATTCAATTTTCAAATTAAACTTATATAAGCTTTCTTAAACATTTAGGCTATTTTGTCCATAAACGTACATATAAAGTAAAAAAGGAAAAATAATCGCACAACATTTAAAGCACTGTAGTAAAGCAAAAAAACTGTTTATATTGATTTTACATATAGCCTACCGTAATTGATATGTTTTAACTTACTGTAGCTAATGAGCTTTTTTCAAAGTTCAATCTTAACCTGCAGATCAGTTTGTAATATATCACAATAATAAGCAAAAATAAACTAAATGGAAAACTTGTATTAAGTACCTTTGGTTAGAAAGCCTACCACTATTATTGTTAATCAGGGCACAAATTTCACCAATTTAAATATAAAATCAACAACAAAATACATAACAGTAATTATTTTTACTCGTTCCATAGTTCGAAACGTTTATGTATTTGCATTAAATTACATTATTATTTAAAACAACAAGTAAAGAAACATAGGTACGTTAGGCCTGAGACAGATTTTAGATAAAACAGTGAACAGCTTAGTTTTGTGATATTATCCATACATTAAGTTAGTCAAATTAAAACAGTGTTGTAAATATACAACTAGGCCTACTATGGAGATTTCTGTAAATTTAAAATACCCCCGCCGCAGCAAACCTGCAGACTTAGCGAATTTCCATTTGCCTGATTCTATTTAAACTAAAATGTCTCCTTAAAAATATCACATTTATTCCCTATTCAAACAAAATTATTTTAATGAGTAGGCTACTACTTGCTGCATCAGGGAGGGTAAAAAAGTTTTTTTTTATGTAAAATATTAAAAGGTACTGTGGTTTAGTAAGAAATTAATGTATTTTCCAAATTTGATCAAAATATGTTCATAAACATACGAACTACAACAGTTGACTTATTCTCCATAAGAATAACATAGGAATTTTAAAATTAAAATTTTTTTGAATTTTCTCCGTAACAATTAGGCGCATAATAACGCTTCAATATACTAAACTATTATTTTTTTTAAGCTCTACAAAATGGTTTAAAAAGAAATTGTGAAATTTTGTGTTTTTAGGATCAAAAATGGAAAAAACCTATTTCTACCCCATAAAACCCCCCATAAACCCCCGTTCCCATAGTCCGATCACACTGGTTCGCGAACTCATTCAAGTTTATCTCGCCTTACACCTTCAAACCAAATTTTATCAAAATCGGACAAAAATTACTGTACTCAAGTTATCGTGCGGATGGACACATATATATATATATCTATAAATAGATATATAAAAATTTGAACAAATTGTGTTTTTGGCCTCTGGGGACATAAAAATGAAAAAGTAAATCGGTCCCGGGCTTAGGTCTTACCATGAGACCTACGGTAATAGCTACTTCCCTATAGGGAAATTCGCTAAAAAGCGAATGTGTAGTAGATGATAGAAGAAAATATAATTCGTAGCTACCTCTGGACAGAATAAAAGTAGGCCTATAGTTGAAGTTTAGTTTGTAAATTGAATTAAAACACAAATAAAAGTGTAACCATTGAGTCAGTTAAATTTTTAAAACTGCACCAGTACATATATTTCTTAGTAAAAAAAATCCCGATCCAAACATTTGTTTAGGCCTATCAGTTCAAACATAAAGCTACCATTATCAAAATTATTCGAAAATATTATACATCGTAATGATCCTTCTGTTTCCATGAAAATAAGTAGCCTATATTTTCATATATATTAATCAAACTATTCTCAAAATCATAAAACTTTAGAATCTTGGGAGCAGGAGCTGTACCTCTTAACCTCTGCTGTTTGAACTGTCAAATTATAGTATTTACAGCTGACTTCAATAAATACTTTTTATTATTTTACATTATTCCAAAATGTAAACATTGAAACTTTGGAAGCCCATGGGGCGTAGACCAAGGGAAATATAATAATCAGGAATGCCTATATGTTAAACGGGTACCTATATAAGCTACCTTAATTTAAAATTTTATTTCAATCGTTTCAGTGGTTCTTGCGTTATTAGGAAACAGACAGACACACACACTCTCACACATACACACACACACATACGGGGTTTTACCGCATACTCGCAAACACCTAATTGTGGCATCTTTCAAACTGCGGCCACCAGTGGATGAAGGAAGGTGGTAGAAACATGTGTGCATCGATATTTTTAATTGAACACTCCATTTTAACATCTAACATTCCAGTTTTTAATTGTGGCACCTTGCCACAAATCGGTATATATCAACAGTGTGTGGACAGGATGCAACTAATGCGTTGTAGCGCTTGAGCGGTGTGTTCGCCCCTCCCTACTTTTCGCGTGCGCTGTTGCCAGTTCTCCGTTCTAGTTCCTTTCTGTGTTCATGTGGCTATGCCCTAGCCGCTGTAGCTCATTGCCCACGCTCCTCACGTCGTCTTTTATTAGTGTAACGATTTTTTTACATGCAGTTTATTCCAAGCTCCAATAATTTTGACAATTATTGGATTTAAAGTCAATGGACCAAATGAAATGTCTTGAGGATTACATAAAACTACATGCTATGTCGTTGATATTTTTTCGTTACATTGTATGTATGGTTTACAAACTTAGATACTTGGATTAAAGGCCTTAATGTGCTAGGTAAATTATCAGTTTCATGGGAATATACAAGAAATTTACCTTAAAATACGCAATAAGAGTGACTCCGTTTTTTCTGTATGCTGCATATAATTAATTCGTGGTAATTTAAAGTATGTGTAACGAATTTTTCACCGCATGATGTTTTAGCTGTTTTACATACGTTAATTGGTGGCTGAAAGTTATGTTTTTCTGACCATGCCAGCTGTCATCGTCATATAGGGGCCGAGCAGGCGTTTACATCCCTAGGGCCGCAAAATAACTTGTTCGCTTATTTACTTAAAAGATTAATGTATATTAAATGCACAAGCTGTATCCATGGCATTGCAATAGACTTGTTTTTTGTCACAGCTGCCTAGACAACTATTTATTGTTATTTTTGATTTTGCTGATTCCTCAACATATTTCACATAAATAAGAGGGACGTTATATTGCAAAACATACTTGGGTAAAAAATAGCGTTCGTACCACGAGCCAAAATGGGTTTGCAGCTCTCGATCGTTTCACGTTCTCGAATTCGTCTCGAACTTAAAACCCGATCTCGAGTCGGCAAAACCTCGCTTTCGGCCCTAGGTACGAAATATACTATTTTTAGGTTTTAGAGACCCAAAGATTCTCACCCCGTTGCGAAGCACGGGCAGAAACACTATAGTTAATTATATTATAAGATTATAAAGACTTTACTGTTTTGTCTGTACATTGCGTGGATTCATGAAGTGTTTGGTTATTTCTACGTGTTATATAATAAGAAAGCCGAAACGAGTCTTATGTCAATATCTGTACGTTTGTTTGATTGTTTCTGTCATTGTGTCTGTAACGCCAAAATTCCAATTCACGTGTCCTACCTTGAGAAAACTAGAGTACCATTCATGATCCAAATAGTTTTGTAATTGTTTAAATAAATTTGCCAAGTTTGATGAAAATATATCCATAAACAAGCAAACTACAAAATTTTACAATATTCTTTATAAGAATAACATGGGAATTTTAAATTTACAATTTTTGAATTTGTCCTGTTCCCAATAACCGTACAAAAACACTTTGATATACTAAATTATTTCTTTTTTAAGCTATTTAAAAAGGTCTGGATATAAATTGGGAAATTTTGTATTTATATAAGGTAACGTTTTTCTCCATTTCATATATTAGTAACAAAATGTATAGTATCAAATTCAGTAATAGCATTGACTACTAACACTAACACAAGTGTTTATATATAGTCAATGAGGCTACTGGTGCTACCGCTGATGGCTTATGCATGTGTACGTTAGTAGCTAGCAGACAATTTGCCAACTAGGAACATGAAATCAGCTGTTCCCCGTCCTCACTGTCGCGGTTGCTCGCCTAGCATATCAACAGCTGACTGCTGTAAAAATTGGTTGAGACGGCAGTAACTTTTTCTAGTACGCTTCTTTACCATGATATCTGCCAATTTAATTTTGTCCTAAAAAATGTATACACATCTCTAAGATTTGATGCCAACTGACAAGCAATTCAAATAAAAAAAAACTATTGTTTATCATCTCTGCAAAACTGCTAATAATTCATGTTCAAATTTTCATCAGAATTCCGTTAGTTTAAATCAACGATCACATAAGACCAATAGATGGAGCACGCCTATCTAACTAACATACAAGCAGTTAAAGCCAGGTCCG